ATAATTATAATGTTATTACTTTCATTAATGTTGTTGTAAGCTACTGTCATTACCTGCATCTCTCTCTCTCTCTCTCTCTCTCTCTCTCTCTCTGTCTCATTGTGTCACATGGATTACTGTTAATTTATTATGCTGATCTGTTCTGTACGACATGTATTGCACGTCTGTCCGTCCTGGAAGAGGGATCCCTCCTCAGTTGCTCTTCCTGAGGTTTCTACCGTTTTTTTTCCCCGTTAAAGGGGTTTTTTGGGGGGGGAGTTTTTCCTTATCCGCTGTGAGGGTCTTAAGGACAGAGGGATGTCGTATGCTGTAAAGCCCTGTGAGGCAAATTGTGATTTGTGATATTGGGCTTTATAAATAAAATTGATTGATTGATTGATTGATTGATTGATTGATTGATTATCTCGGCAAAGGAGAAGTGCTCACTAACACAGATTTAGACGGATTTGTGAACAATATTTGAGGGGAAATGGTCTTTTGTGTATATAGAAAATGTTTTAGATCTTTGAGTTCAGCTCATGAAAAATGGGAGCAAAAACAAAAGTGTTGCGTTTATATTTTTGTTCAGTGTATATATATAGGCCTACATATACATACATATAAGCCTACATATCATGTGTATATATACTGTGTATTGTTTTCGGCACTTCCTTGTTCTCTATAGCTGATGTAAGGTGAATTACTCCTGTGTGGGATCAATAAAGTTCTTATCTTAGCCATCTGAGAAGATCAAATACATTGTTTTTGGTGCCTAACTGTTTCCCAAGTATAGTAGTGCGTGTGTGAATGAATAAACGAGAGGCATTAACGTAAATTTCTTTGTAGAAAGGCGCTTTATGAAATTAAGTCCATTTACTTGTATTAGTTTACAGCGCAGCCTTGCCACATCCAATATGGCGGTGACGTTGATGTATCGCAGCAGCGGGAAAACCCACTCGATGCTGTGTCTACGTATATATGTCTATGGCAACCACTGTATTTGACGTCACAACGCTATGAACTGTGGGTAATTTCCTAACCGTAAATCCGCATTGATGCTGACCTACGGTAAGGGGGCATAAAGGGCTCACTCACTGACTCACTGGCCCTGTCCAAATACCCCCACTTGCGCCCTGAGGTCTTCCCTGAAGTGCACTTGCCAAAAGTGCAGTTAGGGGCGTAAGTGCGCAAGGGATCGAGGCTGTTTAAAAAGGAGAATTGGGACAGTTGCGTACACGTCACTTCCGTTTGGGTCCAGCTGGTCCATCTCCTAGGAGATGAAACATGGCGTTGGAGGAAATAACGTTGTTCGCAGCACTGCTGCTGCAAATGATAAATAGATAGAATCAGCAAATGATGAGGAGGATTAGGAGCCGCAGGAGAAGGCGGCAACTACATCAGATCCAAGTATTGATGCTGATGCCCAACCAACAGGTAAATTAAATTAAATTTTACTCTTGAATTTACCTGTTAATAATGTGTATATTAGCTGTAACGTCTTTTTTTACTCTATCGTTAACATAGCCTAGATTACCGTTATTACTATTAAAACGTTTTTTGCTTGGATAAATTGTGGTAAATTGTGATATAAAATAAACTAAAGACATACGGTAATAAAATAATAATAATTAAAGACACAATCAAAACTGTAAAGTGATGTGGACTGTCATACAAACCTCCAGTCAACTGTAAACTGTATATTATTTCATTATTAACGCCCTGTCATGTATTATTAGTCCACACAGCGTGTTGTTTGACGTTGTTGTCAGTCGGAGTTAACGGCTCGTGGACACATCAGTTACCGTTTGAAGATGGTGAGTTGTACCGGCCAGCTGTGCAGTGTTACGACGTCATGACACTACGGAGGATTCTGGGTAAAATCCTTCAGCGAAGTGAGGTCTGATGCGCACTTTCGGAAGGGGTGCATTAAGGGCGCAGGTTTGCACCCCTTGATAACAACAGAAGACAATTTGGACACCCTACGCACTTGCGCCCCTTAGCAGGAGCGCGCAATTAAGGGGCACAAGGGCGCAAGTGCGGGTATTTGGACAGGCGCACTGACTAGATGATTTGACAATGGGACAGCCCTCACACACTCATTCACTTCAAATGAACGCGCCTCTAAGTCAGTGAGTCTGTAAGGGATCGGATTGGAATTGGGCCTTCGTTTCTCAGCTCAGGCTCAGTCAACCTGGAGATAGGGATTAGGCTCAGAGTTTGTTGAGCCTGCTTCCTGAAATAGGGCCCAGGTCAGAGTCACAAGTTGGGTCTCATTCATGAAAAGTGAGTAAATCTGTGTGTAGATTTGCACATAAACGCCTACGCTACTAAAAACCTACTCCGGATTCAGGAACGCCGCGGGAAACTCAGATTTGATCGTAAACACGTGTGTATAATCATGAATTCCAATCCATCGTAAAGAGACAGCGCGCTCCCGGTAATGAGCAATTAGCAGGTAAAATTATAATCCTGTAACTCATCAACCCGACGCTCAGGAATGATCACCCTCTGTGTGACTGAATGGAAAAGGCGATCACTGATGTGAAAGTGTTTCTTGCTGACAGACAGACTCTTTGACAGACAGACTCTCTGACTTTGATTGTAATCATAATTAACGTTGATGACCGAAATAACAGATCATGAAGAGAAAAATCTTTCCAATAGCCTAAATGAAGAAAATGTTTTTTTCCTTGTTTGTTCAGATTTTTAACTCGATGGAATCAGAAAACAAATCAAATATAAAACGTGGCAGTGATACACTGACTTTAATCTCTTACCTGTCTTCGCTCTGGATGAAACTCCAGTGATGTTGGGATGTGTCAGTTCAGTCCGATCAGCTGCCCAATCAATAACTGATATCCAATCAGGGGGTGTGTCGGTCGGTAATGACTTCCGCGAAGGCTGCACTCATGTAGGCCTATCCTTGCTTCCCTCTCCTCTGAAAGCCTCCTCTCTCCTCGACTCCTCCGAGCGCATTTAACGTATTGAGACGTTCTACAAGATGGCGAGTGTGGATCAATTTCCGGGTCAAGTGATCGAGGATCGAGGAGGGATATTGGGATGAACCCTTGGATTCAGCGTCTGCCCTCGCAGAGTTTACGTGATGACAGAAAATACGTCATACGACGTCCAGAGAGTGTCAGCCTTGCCCTGCGTTCCAATACCCATACTACCATACTATTTAGTATGCCAGAAAAAGAATTAGTGTGTCCCAATACATAGTATGTCAGATGCAGTATGCCAAAAGTACCAGGATGTTCTACTACATCTGGTCACATTTCGCAGTATGCATGTCAGCATGCTTCTTTGGCCATTCTGACCCACAATCCTTTGCGCAGCGGAGGTTACGTCACACTGAGCTGCGTGTACAACCAACGCCCACACTTCCTTTCATACATGGTTTATTTAATTTGAGATACTAAAACACTACATATTAGGACTGCAATGATCTGATTATATACTGTCACATATCATACAATTTTGCAAGAACACGGTTACAACATTCAACTTAATTGTGATTATAGTATAATCAGTGTTAGGGTTCAACTATGACTACAATATAGAAGATTCTACCAGTACAGGCAGTGGTGTAAGTGTGGTATAAATAATGAATGAATATGACTAAATATGAATACACTATGGGCCAGGTATGAGCAGTATAGACCAGTAAATATATGAATAGTAAAAGTCAAATACATATTAAGTAATGTAGTAAGAATGTGCAGGTATGTTACACTACAAATAAAAGTAATGTGAATGTAAGGCTGCCTCACGTGCAGACAGAATATAGTGCCAGCAGCTGCATAGCTGTAAATATATTTAACAACAAACATCTGCCAGCAACAGAGAGCTGTGTGTGAAGGGGTTAATATGCCTACTGGTGACTAGTTCAATAGACAGGTCACTAATAATAGGCTTGGAACTGTTTACGTGAACACGTCAGTTTATTAGAAGCAACAACATACATTACGACATAACAGCAACAGAGCTCTCCGGCACCTCCGACGGTATGCGCGACTCTGGCGAGCTCGACGAGAGGAGATTTGCTGCATCTCCGAAGTACAACAACATAAAATATTCAAATGTGGCGCTACGGACGGCAGCGGAAGTGAGCAAGAGGGTCGGAGTTCAGGGAGCGATGTGATGGCGGATGTAGTGTGTCCCAATAGTATGCATACTGCATGCATACTGCATACTACACTACATACTTTTTAAGGGCAGCTGCAGTACATACTAAAAGTATATAGTAGAAGTATGCGATTTGGAACGCAGGGCAAGATTCAGTCTCCGACTTGACCGCGGCTCTCCTTCACCGCCCCCTGCTGTCTGTTGGCCGCTATTCACAGAGACGTTCTCTGGCAATGTCCTCCCTCATCATCACCAGCAGGGAAGTGATGTCAGACATACCTAGCAGCAGATCACTCAACACAGACAGCAAGAGAGACACAATCTGACCTAAGCTCCTCAAAATCCATCTTCATCCGTGGACAGTTGATGCGTATCCATATGATAAATAGCGAGAGCACAAAGTACAGACTTAAACCTTTTAAACAAGCTGCGTATTACCACAATATGAGGTTAGTCGTATTTTAAAACAAGTGGCGAAAGATTGTGAACTGACTTCATCCGGTGACAACACACTTATGATCCAGCTCCAAGAGGTTTTATTAATGTTTTGGATGTTTTGCCTGCTGTGCTTTTAAACAGGCTTGGGCTGTAAACCTGGACATTTTGGATATTTGGGAGCTAGCGAGCCTGCTTGCTAGCCGAACACAGATTGCTTATCATGGAGTTGAGAGTGGGGAACCGATATAGACTGGGCAGGAAAATAGGAAGTGGATCATTTGGGGACATCTATCTGGGTAAGTTCCAGTCAAATAAAGCTGCTGTCTCTTCTTTGTTTCCAGCAAACTGTTATCTCACCCTGGTACATGACGCTCCAACAATGTCTCAGCTGCTTTCCTGTCAATCAGCTGTTCACTGATCAATGTTAGCAACATTAGCTGCTAAGTTAGTAGTAACACGTCCATTACCTTGTAGTAATTCACAGTAACCGATGTATTTATTCAGGGTTCTCGACTTGGGAAACACTCTGCTTGTCATAACGTACAGTTAATTTCTGAATGACACGTGATAACAGCAATAATTTAAAGTGACGGCTGCTCTGTAACGTTAGCTAAAGCCTTTGCAAGCTAAACCAGCTATCGTTAGCAGATAGTGTACCCTTACTCACCTGGTACAGGATAGCTGACCAGGCCACTGTCTTCACAGGGAAGTCCCTGAAACTGTAAATGACATGCAGCATAACTCTACAGTACTGATGCTTCTCTGTTCACAATGAGACACAAAAAGGTCCATGCAGTCAAATTTCGCCTAAGTTTCTGAAGGTAACCAAGATATGAAACGTGGGATAATACATTTGTGTGTGATTTGGGTCCTTGAGACTTAATGATGCTCTATGGTCAAGTGAGTATCAGTTGAGGTAGCATGAAACTGGTTAATAAATTAGCTGCTGCTTGTTTATTGCCTGAGGGGACATGTTCATATATTTCTGAGTTTCATCTACAAAATGCCAAGAGCTTTGGCTTATTAATAGGATGTATTGCCTCTTAATGGTGATAGGTAAATATTATTGAGATAAACATGAGCTGTGCTGGTCAAAGATTATTCTCTACATGAGTAGAGTGATTTAGATTGTTAGCATTGATGCTGTCGTTAGACATGAGGCACCTTGTGATTAGATTCGTTGATGATTCAGAGTTCAACAATTTAATGATAAAATAACTTATCAATGCACCATGATGCATCAAAATAACTGATATCTATTAGGGATGCACAGTATTGTTTTTTTTTTGCTATCTGATATGCTGATATGTAGGCTAACAGCTCATTTTACCAATAACTGATACTGATATAGATATATCAATTTTTTCACCCCAACTATATGAAGTGCTGATATCATGTGCATCCCTAATTATGTGCATCCCTAATTTCTATTCGTGATGTATTTTTCTAACTGTGTGACTACTTGCTATTTTGAAAACAGCATACTGTATTTGTAGTGATCCATAATTAAATAAACAGATGAATAAATGAACATTGAATTTCCCCTCAGGGGGACTAATAAAGTAAATAAACTAACTAACTAACTAAACTGAATGTATGTACATACAGGGAGGCTCTTATACAGGACCCTTTTCTCTTCAACCGTACAGCAAAAATGCTTCCATGCTAGTGCTTTTACACCAGTCAGTTTGTATCCATCTACAGTTGCACACAATAATCTTTTGTGGGATACTGCAAACCCCAATACTTGACCAGAATTAGTAGCCTATGTAATTACTGCAAACTATTGAATGTTAAATGGTCCACAGCCTTTTTATTTTAAGAAGTTAATACATTTACTAATTAATTTGTAAGCACCTTACAGTTCCATGCCTGTATAGGAATAGCAAGATGAGGGGCGAGCACCCTCTCTGCTGCATCAGCTTCAGAAAAAGCTAAGACGCTAAGTGGACCAAGCGAAGGGTTTTTGAGGTAAAACAGACTTTGTATGGGTATTTTCTTCACAACAGAGTTCTTTAAGATGTTTAATGCTGCAGTGTGTGTTGATCAGCCAGTCTCATTTGTTAATATTATCACTGATCGCTGCTCCGCTCTGTTAACGTTTGTCTATGGGCGATGGCCTAGAAAGCATTCAGAGTATACTTCACATTTGTCTCTTAGAGGCAATTGTGTAGACATCTAAGTAAAACAAGCTTGCAACTGCTGCCTTTTGTGAAGATGAATTACAAGTTAACTGTAGCGTGTCCGCGCTGCAAGACTGTCTGAGTACTGCACTGAACTTGTGGTTGAGTTCTGCCTCTTTCATTCCATTAACATCATGTTATTAATAAACATTTGGATACTTGATTATTGACATTGGGGTACTGATGCTGAATCATCCACGTCTGATGCATCTAAGAATCGATTATTTCCCTCACCCCTAGCTATCATTGATGTTGGGACATTGGAAGTTCATAGTGATAAAGTTAAGTGCTTCATAACTGAGCTCTGTGTGTTTGAGGTACAAATGTTGGGAAAACATAGATAATGGAGAAAAAAAAATTTAAGCACTCATGAGAAGTTACACTGAATGAATTAAACGCCACACATTTCTGCCCCTGTGGACAGATCTCTTCATCACTGACATGTAATCAACAGTGACTGTTGGCACCAGTGTTGCCAGATGGGAAATGAAGAAATATTGTACTTGTAGGAGCCAAATTCATTATTTTGTTTTGTGAGAAGTGTATCTTTTTTGCCCCATTAAAGGTTTATTCGTTGTGTTAATTAATATTAATTATTATTAATATTAGAATAATTGGTTATGGTGACCTGCCTGACTTCACGCCTTCTTTTCCCATGTTCCTCTCATTTCCTTTCCACACCTTTATCTTGTCAGGTAATTTGGGACTCAGGTTGGCTCAGGTAGAGCGGCACTACACAATTTTTTGACCGCATTTGATTTGTCCTTAAATAGGTTGTCTTGGAGGCTTAAAGCCGTTTTTTTTTGTTTATTTTTTATATAGTCAATTGGGGCTGTTTTATGAGAATATTTTGGATTTTCTTCTAGAATAAATAAGTTCATTTTTATACAATTCCCGTGGGATCCCTCCTCTTTTCTTTTTCCTTTTTTTTGGTCAATTCAAGCGTGTCTGACTGCAAGCGGCATACCTGAAGCCAGAAGGCAGCAAGACTGGTTCGTATATCTGCCTTAATATTGTCAAAAAACTCCGCTGGATGAATGCTGACAGACACCGAGCAGACAATGGAGCCGCGGAGCGGAGGTATGTGAAGGAGTGAGTGTTTCTGGCGGATCTTTCTTTGTTTCTGTTGGATCGCCCTGGATAGGCTGCTGGGCTTGGCTGTGAAGTGGGTTTGTGGATTTGATGGACGGGAAAAGCCCAGGAGGCTTTATTGTTGGAGTTTGTCCCGATCTGGGTGAAGTGGAAGGAGTGACAGCCGTAGCGCTGTGCTGCTGTGTATGAACGGGGATGACGTCATGAGCTTCATTCACAAAACGCACTGTTCTACAGGGATGTTGATGCGCTGTTTCGCTATGTGTGGACTGCCTGCAATGCTTTTGATGTGTTCAAACTATGCTGCATTCACAAACTACGCTGTTCTGCTGTGTGCACTGTCTGCAATCCTGCTGATTTACACCAGTTGAAACGCTCTGTTTATCTGCCTGCATAATGGAGGAAAGTGGTTTCTGTGATGATCCTTTGCAGAAATTAAAGGGATCAAGAAGTGCTAAATTGGGTGCACTTACTAAGAAAAGAAATGAAATCGCACAACTTATGGGAAATTATGGAAACTTGGAATTGATTCAAGCAAAAATGGCCAAGGATTTCTTAAAGTTGCGTGCTGAGTTAAAAGAACTCAATGAAGATGTGAAAGGAATGCTAAATAAAATATCTGAAGCTTAAAGTGAAGCAGGACCAAACAGAGTGGTATAAACCTAAAGCAGCCTCACTGGATGAATTTGAAGCCCAGATAGAAAAGTGGACCAATACAGCACAGCAACAGCCTCACCCTCAAGTGGATGAGGATGAGATTCACCCAAAGGACAGTGTCTCAAATGTCTCTGCAAAGCATTCGCACAGGTCATCAAATGCCTCCAGGAATTCAAGCAGATCATCAACCTCCACTGGACGTTCCTCTGCATCTTAGACCAGGCTTAAACTGCAAGATGAAAAGGCAGCTTTATTGGTCAAAGCAGAAGCAATATCAAAGAGGCAGGCACTGGAACAGGAGGAGGCCAAACTTAAAGCCAAAAAGGAGCAATTGGAAATGCTAACTGAAATACAAGCCACTAGTGCTAAACTGGATGTTTTCACAGAGTTTGAGAACACTCATAGGATGGATAAGAGACCAACAGATGGAATGAATGAGTATTTCAATGAAATGGGAGGTTTTCAGGAAGCCTCAGAGAGGGCTATAGAAATGGTGCCCAAATCCAATGATGTTATCACAACATTACCTGTCACAAAACCAAGCATGCACATTATGGAAGAACAGCTGCGTACTCCTCCTGCTTATATCACAAAGTCGGAAAGACACAGCAGCCTGTTAATGGAAAGTGGTCAAACTGTATACCACCCCATCACTCCAAAGCCAAGCAACATATTGGAGGAGCCTGTTGTAAGACGTAAGGCGACGTCCCAACAGCCTCAAATTGAAATGTCTGCAACCAGGGACAGACCTGGTGGAGCTGCCAGCCAATATGAATGTGGAGCCATCCGACACAATGGTGCTGTCATGATGGAAAGTTACGGTGAAACAGCTGATATGAGTGGTATTGTTGATATCATGTGACATCAAAATATTATAACTGAAGTACTGGTAAAGCAACAACGATTATCGTCATTACCACCTTTCAGCATACCAATGTTCAAAGGCGATCCATTGGAGTACAAGTTCTTTATATGTGCATTTGAACATGGTATTGAGGATAAAATGGAAAACTGCAAAGACAGGTTGTATTTTTTGGAGCAGTTTACCATGGAACAACACCGAGAATTGGTACGGAGCTGCCAACACATGGAACCATCCAGAGGGTACAAGGAGGCCAAAAGGCTCCTAAAGAAACACTACGGTGATGACTTTAAGACTGCCACGGCTCACATTGATAAAGCCCTCAGCTGGCCATCAGTCAAAGCTGATGATGCTGAAGCTCTGCAAGCTTACTCTGTCTTTCTAATTGGATGCTCTAAAACGATGGACAGCATTGAGTACATGGAGGAGATGGATAATCCAACCACCATGAGGGCCATCCTCTCTAAGCTGCCATATAAACTTAAGGAGAAATGGAGAGGCT